CAGATCTCATTACAGATGGTTGTGAGCCACCATGTGGGTGCTGGGAATTGAACTCAGGACCTCTGGAAGAGCAGTCAGTGCTCTTAACCTCTGAGTCATCATCTCTCCAGCCCCTCAAATTTCTTTAGCAAAAGATTTAATTGGCAAAATCCTCTTTGGATGTTCATCGTATGTAAATAAATAGCCATTGCTCCAGTTCTTGGGGAATCTTGGTAGATCAGCTGCCATCTTCATCACTCAGGGTCTGGAGGACTTGATCCTGTCTGTAAGCAGTTGGCATTCCAGCTCTTTAGTCCATATCAGTTTAGAGCTAACTAAATGCAGAAATGATGGCCTCCAACACCTTAGAGGAATGTGAACACAGTGTCTGTAACGCCCGTGTGCAGGAGGCTGAGGCAGGAAAAGCAGAAGTTTGAAGCCAGTGCCATAGCGAGTTTCAGGCCAGCCTAAGCTAAATACTGAGACCTAATCTAAATTATGAAGAAAGTGGATGAGTGAAAGAACTGTCAGAGACCTTAACTTTTCACAAACACCAAAAGAAACTTTAAGAACTAAGTGAATAGAAATGCATATTTAAGTCTTACCTTCACATAAAACTGCTTGTTTAAGGACTAATCTCTAATGTTGAGTTCAGTCAAAACTAAGATTAAAATGATATTGTTGTCTATATAAGGGAAGGGCCATGTCTTACGACATGTGTACAGATATTCACCAAAAATAACTCAAATAGAAAACAGCATGATGCTTACTCAAAGCTCAGGACAAATCCTGGAGTAAATTGTGCCTTGAATAAAAGTAAGTCTTATTCATTATAAATGCAGCAGACATGTAAAGGCAAGCAGACAGCGCATTTTCTTAAGTGGAATCCATATTTACTTCATCCCTGACCCCAAGTTCATCATAAAGTTAACTCATTTGTAATAAAAATAATCCATATGATTTTCTGGATGTTTTTAATTTCTATTTTTCAAACACCAATATATTATATTTTTCAAGTCAATAGAGTCAACTATTTTGGATTTTTTTCTGTGTGCATTATGGATGCATGTGTGTGCCTATGTGTGTGTAGTACATGTGCTCATGTGGGTGTGTGCAAGGTGCACATGGATGTATGTGGGTACATATGTACACGTGAATAGAGGACAAAGGTCAACATCAAATGTCTTCCTCTAATACCCCTCACCTTATTTTTTGAGGCAGAGTATCTTACTGAGCAAATCGATTCAGCGAGGCTGGCAAATCAGTGAATCCAGGGATCCTTCTGACTCTTCCTGCTCCCAGCACTAGGTCACAGAAGTGCACTGCCATGCTGGCTTTTAAATTTGCACCACAGGCATTTTACCCACTGAGCCATTTTCCCGGACCCTAGATTGTTTCAAAGTCAATACCACCACCTTTTATGATAGGACCATGAAGACCAAAGAGAACAAATGCTTCAAGGAGCTTTGCAAATGTCAACAATTTGGGGCTTACAAGAATGGTAGCAATATCAACATTATGTACTCCCTTAAGTCATAATAATCATATTGCTAAATGGGTATTGTTGTGTTATTTATGTTATATTCTTAAGACAATAACTAAAAAAAATAATAATGGTCTATTGTCTAGGAAATCTGGACTAGAGAGATGACTCAGCCATTAAAGGCTAGGTTCACAATCAAAAATATAAGAAATCCACAATATTTACCCACTTGAATATATCAGAAGGGAGAGCTTAAGTTCCACATGGAATTATAAATATTAAGAATTTGAATCAACATAAGTATTTCATCAGTAACATAATATTTCATCAGTAATAAAGGTTTCATCAGTAACAAAAGATTTCATCAGTAAAATCAAATTACAAACATAAATACCCCTTTTTAAAAATTGAATCACCAATTAATATAATTTGATGGATTGAGCAGCCTACAAGGAAAGTTTGAGCCATTTTGCCACGTCAGGAGGTTAACTAATACAAACCCACTCCCTGTAAAAACAGGTTATCTATTTGATGTAACATTCAGTATGAAGTTATTACTCAAGTTAAATTGATGATTTTGTGATTAAATAAAAAAACTCAAGGA